TGTTTCGTTTTAGATATTTTATATGCTTCTACTTTTATGTAAACCCATTCTTGTCACCACAAGCGTCATCTGTAGCACAAACAAAGGGCCATAACTCTGTATATAGTGGGGCATTAAACCTGATTTTAGTGCGAGAAATTCTGCCTTCCCAAGATACAACAAGAGGCCCAGAGGGCTCACCTGAATATGTTTAAAATAATTGGTATGAAGTAAAGATATAGCACTCCGTGGTAGGTGCTGTAAGTACATATGAAATTTCAGAAAAATCCATTCAGTACTTGAGATATAGCGAGAACAAACTTCAAACAGAGCCCCACCCCTATGCCCCTAGCGGGGTCATACCCACCAAGTATACAAAATTGAGTCCCCTTGACCCAAGGATGCTCCAGACTAAATAAGGATAAAATCTCTTAATCTTGATGGTCGAAGAAGGATTTTAAAGGTTTTACCTTTATTTCTCCTATTGGGCCCCAGCCCTTCTGCCCCCTGGGAGACCACATCCCTGAATCTCTATGGTAGAAGAAGGATTTTAAAGGTTTTAACTCTATTTCCCCTATTGGGCCCCACCTCTCTGCCTCCAGGGTGGTCAGACATACCGTTTATACAAAATTGGTTCCCCTTCACCCAAGGGTGCTTAATTCATACCAAATTTGGACAAAATCCTGTCATTCTTACAGAAGAAGAAAGGATTTTGAAAAAGTTTCCCTTATTGGGCCCCTCCCTTCTGTCCCCAGGGGGGCCACACTTGCTGTTTATACGAAATTGAGTCATTTTTGCTTAAGGATAATCCAGACTAAATTAGGATAATATAAAGGTTTTACCTATATTTCCCTTTTGGGCCTCGCCCCTCAGGCCCTTGAGGGGCCGGACCTACGGTTTATACAATATTGGTTCCCCTTCACCCAAGGATGCATCAGACCAAATATGAAACAAAACCTTTCATTCCTACAGAAGAAGAAGGATTTTAGAGAATTTGTTATATTTCCCCTATTGGGCCCCGCTTCTCAGGCCCCTGGGGGGCCAGACCCACGGTTGATACAAAATTGGTTCCCCTTCATCCAAAGATTCTCCACACCAAATATGGAACAAATCCTTTCTTTCTTACAGAAGAAGGATTTTAAATAATAATTTGCTATGTTTCCCCTATTAGGCCCCGCCTCTCAAGCCCCTGGGGGGCCAGACCCATGGTTTATACAAAATTGGTTCCACTTCACCCAAGGATGCTTCAGACCAAATACGGAACAAATCCTTTCATTCCTACAGAAGAAGAAGGATTTTAAAGAATTTGCTTTATTTCCCATATTGGGCCCCGCCCCTCAGCCCTCAGGGGGGCCAGACCCACCGTATATACAACATTTGTTCCCCTTTATCCAAGGATGCTCCACACCAAATATGGACAAAATCCTTTCATTCCTGCAGAAGAAGAAGGATTTTAAAGAATAATTTGCGATGTGTCCCCTATTGGGCCCCGCCCCTCAGCCCCCAAGGGGGGCCAGAACCACCATTTATACAAAATGTGTTCCCCTTTCCCAAGGATGCTTCTGACCAAATTTGGTCAAAATCCGCTTAGTCATTCATGGCTAGTAGCGTTTTAAAGGAAAAGTTGACGGACGGTCACAGTGACCGAAATCCATGCACTGCACACCTTCTGTGGATGATGCCTGCATACCTAAAGTTTCATTAAGGACTTTCCACCCTTCAAAATACACATGTTTTTCTTGTCATTTTTTTGTGTCGTCATTTCCGTATTGCGTATCGGGCATTCCAAAACTGTAGTGTAAATTAGAGTTACACCGGGTAAACAATAGTACACGTGCGTGACGATGATATGTCAACACCCGATATCGAGACTTACTAATAACTTGGAAATCATGTGTAATCACACGTACTTCAGAAATAAAGCTTATGATACAAAGATATTATTTAACTCGCAGGAAAACACTGACATACAATCAGGTGACTTCAAGAAGGTCGTATATGAGGCAGACGAACACTGTACCATGACATAAGCTCACTAGCCCTTTGGGCAGGTGAGCTAAAAATGTGAAAGTGTTTCCTTTTTTTTTACAAATAAATCTCCAGTTTATCGGAATGCTTAGATTTTCATAAAATCATCTCTACATAGTAACATAACCATTATGTGAAACTTTCATTGAATTCTGCTTGCTAATTGCGAAAGGGTGGAGCCTCCCTAAGATATCTTTAACGGTTTAAAAGTTATGGCCCGGACAAGTTGCGATTATCAGAAGAAGAACCAGTAGAAGAACCTGGCCCCTTGCAGAGAGATGCTTTACACCAAATTTGATTAGAATCCCTCCATTCATAAAGAAGAAGGCTTTTCAAGATTTATCCCTATTTGGCCCTGCCCTCTAGCCCTCTATCCCTAGAGGGTCACACCTGCAGTTAATACAAACTGAGTCCCCTTTGCCAAAGGATATTCAACACAAAATTTGGTTCAAATTCTTATATTCTTTTAGAAGGAGAAGGATTTTAAACATTTATCATTATATTACCCTATTGGGCCCCATCACTCTGTCCGCAGGGGAGGCCATATCCTCCCTTTCTACCAAATTGAATTCCCCTTGCCCAAGGATGTTCTAGAAAAAATTAGGTTCAAATGTTGTCACAACATCATTGTATTGTTGACATGACATCATACAATTGTTATGAATGAAGGAATCGCCCCTCTCAACCCTAGGGTGAGACAAGGATTTCTACCACAATACGCTGTGTTATACCACTCTCAGAACATTGTATAAACATGCAGACTGTTGAATAAATATGAGTTATACACCACACGTGGTATATGACCATCCGTAGTTTTGATTGGTGGAGAAGATGAACCTTGGCCGGACAATTTTTTTTTTAACACGCTTTTGCCGCATGCTGTTTTGTTTACGGCGTCTGCTGTCAACATCCGGCAAATGTTGGTGATTTTTGTGAGGTTATGCGATGGGAAAAGGGGGTTACCAAAAGAAGATGATGCTTAAAGATTTGATCGCTAGTTTCAGGCAAAATTTCTACAGACAGTCGATATCGTTTCGACGTCATACCGTTGCGTGTCCAGGTCGTGAAACCCAGAGACGTAATATAACTTATATGTCTCTGTGAAACCCAAACAAGATCTGTAACAGTGTCGGAAAATATTTCTTTCTCCCCATATGTCCCGTTATCAATATTTGGAGGGCCTGTCTATGGCTGAACTCTCACTGTAAACGTCAACCAAATAGTTCATGTTTAATTTATATTAATTAATGCAATATTGCATACTCTCAATATTTAAAGTCGTTCATCTATTTTATTTTTTCACAAAGTTTTTGCCGAAACATTAATTTTTTGAAAATTATTTTATTTGTAAAAAAAAAGTCATTATTAAAAATAATGAGTGACTTTTACATATGGGTCATATCACAACGCCAGCCTTGTCAACAAAATGTGTGTATGCTATTCAAATCAGGAAATACTGTTTCCAACTGAGATTGTGGTAGAAACAGATCACACGACTCGTGTTTGTTGAGTATGGTATTTATTTCACTCTTGTTAGTTAATTTTCAAAAGTAAAGGACAGACACTCGCTCGTGTCTTTTGTAACTTTTGAAAATTGACTAACTCAAGTGAAATAAATACCATATTCAACAACCACTCGCTGTGTAACCTCTATATCTCACACTGTGAAAGGTGTGGAAGCATCTGTCCAGGATCAAAGAAATATGTATCTTGCATATGTAAACAAAAGGTCCAAGGGCCTTAACGGTCACCTGAGTTATATCATAAGTACTGGTAGCTTTATTTTATTGCTTAGATGTGATGTGGAAATCAGCATGTAAACTAAGTGAAATACAATACTTGTCATGTCATCAAAGGATAAGAATCTTAAAATATTGGTAAATGTTTCCTTTGGGGCCCCGCCCTAGCCCCTGGGGATGGGGCAGGAATTCCAATTTTACACTGTAATACCCTCATCCACCAAGTTTGAATAATTTTCTGCTGAAAATGGTTAAAATATACCCAAAGGTATATAGTAAACTTTACCCCCTCCCCAAGGGGGTACAAGATGACTCAGGGGTACTTTCTATCCATGCACTGAAATGGACTGTAGTACCTCGGAGTCTGGAGAAGAAGATTTTTGAAATATTGGTCATTTTCCCTTTGGGGCCCACCCTGGCCCATAGGTTTGGGGTAGGAATCCCAGTTATACATTTTAAAACCATCTTCCTCCAAGGATAATTCTTACCAAGTAAAAGAATTTCCTACAAAAAATTGTCAAAATATACACAAAAGTGTTATTTCCCTAAATAAACTATAGTAAACTTTACCCCCTCCCATAGGGAGAAGGGATGGCCCGGGGGTCCTGAAATTTACAATTCAAATAAATCCCCTGATGATCTTTCCATCCATGCAGAGAAAATGACTGTAGTATCTGTAGGTCTGGAGAAGAAGACTTTTGAAATATTGGTTAATTTTCCATTTTGGGCCCCACCCTAGCCCCAGAGGTTGGGGTAGGAATCCCAATTTTACAATTGTGTAGCCTCATCTACCAAGAATGATTCTGGCCAAGTTTGAAAAAAATCCATCCACTGGTTCTTGAGAAGAAGTTGAAAATGTAAAAAGTTTACGCACGACGGACGACGACAGATGGAAAGTGATTGGAATAGGTCACTTGAGCAAAGCTCAGGTGACCTAAAAAGGGGGCAAAAATCCACCTTATTTATTTAAACAAGGGCATGCAAAGATTTAATTCAACCTAACGTACACAAAATTTAATAATTTACTTCAATAAAACAAACAATTTTTTGCTTCTGTAGGTCTTTCATTTAAATAAAAGTAGTGATAAGAAAATCCATCTCCAGACAGATAATATAAGTTGGATTATAAAATACCTGCTAGTCTTTGACATTATAGCTTTAAAGTATTTCATTCACTCATACAAGTGATTGTAAATTAAACGTCATCAATGATGTCAAAGATAAACAACTTAAACCTTAGTAAAACCTCATTACCTGCATAGGAATCCGGATCTTAGAGCTCACATTCTTCCCACTTTCTGTTTCTTCTTGAATATTCACCTCATCCCATCTCTGTAAAATTGAAAATATTATTTTTTCAACACTTTTTATATAGATATCAGTTTTTCAACCATGCATTATTACCTAGGTACACATATCACATTATAGTTCAATCACCCATTCTCCATCCTTGCACATTTTCTTTCTTTGATTTAACGTATTATAACATTCTCAATTTTAATATAACATATATAGCTACCACAGAATTACAATTATTTTCAGATACCTCATAACTCTCTATAAATTGAAACCACATCATAGTGTGCACTGTAGATGTGGCCTGTATTGCTTTTTTGTTTGTTTGTTTGTTTGATTTTGTTTAACGTCCTATTAACAGCTAAGGTCATTTAAGGACGGCCTCCCCTGTGTGCAAGATGCATGCGTGTAGTGTATGCGTGTGTATTTTGGGAGGCTGCGATATGTTCGTGTTTATCTCCTTGTGATAGCGCGGAACTGAGGCCTGTATTGCTCACCTGGATATTTAGCAATTATGGCAAAAGATTTCCAACAAGACAATTCGGCGAATTATGGTCCCCCACCGAATGTGAAATGCACAGATGATAAAATTGTGCAGGAAGTAATTCTATATATCAATGTTTGACAGACCCATCGTATTCAATGAGGAATAGCGTCAGTGCTACTATTGCAAATAAATCTGGTGAATCTTTATTGGTTAATGGTACCGTTTTACTATTAAATTGCATCTGGTGACACTATGTATGCTTCTTCTTCAATGCAAGTGAACCCATGCCCCAAACAAGTTCCAGTGACTAGTAGTGTAGGAGATACAGCCTGGACAAACTTTTTCTTAGGGCAAAGGTCAAAATGTTGGTCAGAGAGACTTACTTTTAATACATGACACATCGCCTCACCAAGGTGAACCCATACCCCAAGTATGAAGTTCCAGTGACTAGTAGTGTAGGAGATAGAGCCTTGACAAACTTTTTCTTTGATGTAGGTCAAAGGTCAAAATGTAGGTCAGAGTGACCAACTTTTGATACACAACACACCGCCTTACCAAGGTGAACCCATAACCCTAAGTATGAAGTTCCAGTGACAAGTAGTGTAGGAGATACAGCCCGGACAAGATAGTGGAAGGCTGGATGGAAGGACGAAAGGATGGACGGACACGATGCAAAACTATAGTCCCCGCCGGTTCCCAGTGAAGGACTTATTAAAAGCTATACTGCCAACATAATTGTGTGTATCCAAAACTTCATACTCAGCAATAGGGGGATCTCAAATGTTTCAATGTTAATATGACACAGTGACTAAGTCCCAAAAGGTGTGGCAAGACCCCAGAGTCAATCTAATACCATGAGTGTATTAGTCTTTTTATGCCTAGCAATTGTATATATGGCTAAAGGCTGGGGATCTCAGTAATTTCAAAGTTATTACCAGGGAAAAGTTCCTTGGGGTATTGCTAGACCTCAGGGTCAATTCTAATATCACTATTGTGTCTTAATTGTCACTTTGTGCCTGACAACTGTACGTATATGTAGTTATCAACTGGGGATCTCAACCATTGAAAAGTTAAGACAAAGTGGCTTAGTCTCCATGGTACAGGCCAGACCCTGAGGCCATTCTGGTATAATATGTGTATTTGTCTCTTCATACTTAGTAATTGTATATATGGTTATAGGGTGGGAATAAGTCTCAAGTGACCTAAAAACTCAGGTAAGTTGTTCATGTGTAACACATGGACAATTGAACAAAAGGTCTGGCTAACTGTACATAGCCCGAGGTGATCATCTGTCCAATCTAGGTAAATTTTTCACACAACACTTCACCCCAGTCAGCGGAAAACAATAGATCTAAAATTGAAGTAATTAGGCCTATCAACATTTTCTAACACACAAATTCCAATAAGAAGAAACGAGCCTGCCTTTCACAAATATTCACGGTTACCTTGACACATCAATTTTGAAAATAAACCAAACATACCCAAAAGTATCATTTTCCTATATAAACTATAGTAAACTTCGCCCCCTCCCAAGGGTCAAACATGGAATCTGGGGGTCATGAAATTCACAATTTTAGTAAAGTTCCTGAAGACCTTTCCATCCATGAAGAGTATTTAACTCTATCATATCTGGGTGAGAGAAGAAAATTTTTACCATCTTTGGCCCCACCCCTCAGGCTCCTGGGGAGTGGGGACCATATAACTCACAATTTTGGTTCACCTTTTGCCATGGAAGGTTCCTGCAAAGTTTCATTACAATTGGTTTAGGAGTTTTTGAGAAGAAGTTGAAAATGTAAATTGTTTACGGACGCACGACGAACGCCAGACAAAAAAAGGTGATTGCAAAAGGTCACTTGAGACTTTGTCTCAGGTGACCTAAAAAGTTCTTGCATTTTTCTATGCAATGTCACGGTCTAGAGAAGGTTTATAAACCAAGGGCCATACGTTCGTGAAAAGGGGAGATAACCCAATGAAAAGTACTTTACGCACATCTCCAAGCTGCAAGGATTGTTATCAGCAAATTTCATTGAAATCCATCCCGTAGTTTAAGAAAATTATGGACACAGTACTACATTGCATCCACAGACAGACAAATGGAGGGACAACCTGATTCCTAACTTTGTTGCAGGTTTTTTTAAAACATCTTTGTTCATTTATCTTTAATCCATACGTAACGCTGCTACTCTCTGCCTATCTCTGAGAACTACTAAACAAATATTGTGACTTTCTGATTACTACTACACAGACGTTGATTTTCCACCATGTCATTGGGTGTAAATACTCACTGTACATGTTGATATAGCATCTTTGCCCTGTGGATTGCTGATGCAAGCTTTGAAGTCCTTTAACACGGTGGCACAAAGATACTCTACCCATATTCTACAAAGCCAGAAAGTTTATTAGATCATATGTCAATAATATATTAAGTATATAAAGTCTAACAAAAAGAAGTTTATGCTTTTCATCCTAATGTTGTATACCACCATCAAAACATATTTACAACAATAAACATAAATATAATGTAATACAATAAATCTACTGGTTAAAATCCTATGCATGTTAAAACAAATTCCTAAATAAACTACAGATCAGGGCAATCTTTATGGGCTGAGAGCATGCAAAGTTAGACAACATTTCAAATCACTAAAATGTAATATCATAGTAAACATTAAGAGGCCCAGAGGGCCTGTATCTCTCACCTGGATAATAGAGCAACCATGGGAAATTATTTTTATTACATAAAATCCCTCCAATGGTACAGAAGCAGAAAGATTTTAAAGATTTATAAACCTAAAATTTCCCTATTGGGCCCCGCAATTCTCAGCAGCCAGAGGGGCCTCACCCTACGCTTATACAAAAATTTAGTCCCTTTTGCCAAAGGACGCTCCAGGCTAAATTGGGATAAAATCCGTCAATTCCTATGGTAGAAGCAGGATTTCAAAGGTTTTCACCTCTATTTCCCCTATTGGGCCCAACCCCTTTTAGTCCCCTTGGCCAAAGCATACTCCAGACAAAATTGGGGTGAAATCCCTTAATCCCTATGGAAAAAGAAGGATTTTAAAGGTTTACCTCTATTTTCCCTATTCGGCCCCACCCCTCTGCCCCCAGGGGGGCCACACCTATCGTTTATACAAAATTGAGTCCACATGGCCCAAGAATGCTTCAGACCAAATAAGGATAAAATCCCTCAATTCCTACGGTAGAAGAAGGATTTTAAATGTTTTTACCTCAATTTCCCCTATTGGTCCCCACTACTCTGCCTCCAAGGGGTCCACACCGACAGTTTATACAAAATTGAGTCCCCTTGACATAAGGATGCTCCAGACAAAATTTAGTCGTAATCACCAGGGCCGTTCAGGACAAGTAGCATTTTAAAGAACAAGAGGCCCAATGGCCTGAATCGCTCACCTGGTATTAATTGCAGAGTTATCTTCTCTTGGGAGCAGGTATTGATTGTTACGTCATTGGTTTGTGCGAGAAAATTACGTCGTTTTCTCAAAAATTGATGACGTTACTCTCACAAACAAGTGACGTAACAATCAATACCTGCTTCCAAAAGAAGAGAACTCTGCAATACGCAAAGATGGAATACATCATTCGTGGGTTGTCTGGGGATGGGCTGCCCCAGCTACGATCCACAATACATGAAACCCTCTCTATTTTCTTTCTTCACAAATCAACACTTGTTCATTTCTTTCTCTCTCACTTTTTCACACTCTCATACTGTAATTTCTTCTTTTTTACCTCACTTTTTTATACTCTCGTATAAACCCTCCTCACACGGAGGTAACAAAAACAAAAAATAATAATACAGAACTTTTGTCCGGTTTCCGGGTTACTTAGATACATGTATGTGTTTTCATGCATTTCCGCTGATTGTTGTGCACAGGGAGTGCGAAGGATTACAGAATGAAAAAAAGTGGTAATAATTATATATAAATGACTGTGTAAGCTAATAATATATTTTGAATGCCTCAGTTATATTGTTGTTCATGTTGTGTGACCCTGCTATGTTCAGTATTACTTGACTATACTCAATCGGTTTTGTTTTACCTTGACCTCGGTCACATGTTGCAATCTCAATGTAATGCCAATGTTACAAACATTTCTCTTCCTGTACAACTCCTGATTCTGTATATCCCTGGTAATCGCACCCTGTTATGTTTAGCTGAATCTGTTACAAGAGGCCCAATGGGCCTGAATGGCTCACCTGGTATTAATCTCACAAATAATCTTTTAAGTGGACTAAAATACAGCTACAGGCAGAATATCAGTGTTTGACTCATAAGAACCTATTAAAGGTTTAAACATATGACGCCCGTGACCTTGAATGTCGAACAAGGACATTAGGTTTAACAGAGTTTATAGTCGTCCAACCCAGCATGCTTCTGGCAAAATATCATTACCCTGGACCTTTTGGTTATACAGAACAAGTCATTCAAAGATTTAAACATATATTGACCACTGTGACCTTGCATATGGGCGAAGGTCATTCATTTAAAAAACCTGGTAGTCCTTAATCCCAGCATGTTAATGGCCAAATATCATTACCCTTAGCCTTTTGCTTATTGAGAAGAGGTCGTTTATAAAGGTTTTAAACATATTTGACCCCTGTGACCTTTAATATATGTTGAGGTCATTCATTTGAATAAACTTGGTAGCCCTTCATCCTAGCATGCTACTGGCAAAATAGCATCATCCTAGGACTTTTGGTTATTGAAAAGATGTTGTTTAAAGTTTTTAAACATATTTGACCATTGTGACTTTGAACAAGAGGCCCAGAGGGCCTGTATCGCTCACCTGGATACCAAAGCAATCATGGTAAAATATTTTCCGAATGAGATCAAGGGAATATGCCAGACCCCAATCCTTGTAGCATATCTGTATTAGATTCTTCATGCCCAGCAATTTTATGTATGGTTATGGGGTGGGGATCTCAACTGTTTCCAAGCTTTGACTCAGAAACTAGGTCCCTAGGGTTGTGGCCAATTAGGATCAATTCTAATATCGTGACTGCATTTGTCTCTTTTTGCCCAGCATTTATATATATAGTTTTGGGGTGGGGATCTCAACAGTTTTAAAGTTATGGCCCAGAGACTATGTCTCCAAGGGTGGGGCCAGACCCTATAGCCATCCTGGAAGCAAATGTGCATTCCTCTCTTTATACTCAGCAATTGTATAGCATGATTATATGGTGGGGATCTCAACCATTTCAAGTAATACACTTTTTTTGGCCCCACCCCTTAGCCCGGGGGGTCAGCCCCACCATTTGTATAATTTTGAATCCCTGTCTCCAAAGAATGCTTCCAACCAAATATGATCAATATCCATGGCATAGTTCTACAGAAGTCGTTTATAGCAATATAGCCAAATTGCCCCCTTTTTTGAATCCCCACCACCTAGGGATGCTTCCAGTCAAATATGGTTGATATCCACCTGTTAGTTCCAGAGAAGAAGTCGCTTATAGCAAAATTGCAAAATTGACCCCTTTTTGCTACGTCTATCAGCCCCCTGGGGGAGGGGGGTCAGCTCCATCATTTGTACAATTTTGAATCCCTGACACCTAGGGATGCTTCCAGTTAAATATGGTTAACATCGACTTCTTAGTTCCAGAGAAGAAGTCAATTAAAGCAATATAGCCAAATTGGCTCCTTTTGGCCCTGCCCCTCAACTCCCTGGGGGGTCAGCCCAACCATTTGTAAAATTTTGAATCCCCACCACCTAGGGATGCTTCCAGTCAAATATGGTTGATATCAATGGCATAGTTCTACAGAAGAAGTCGTTTGTAGCAATATAGCCAAATTTCCCCCTTTTTGCCCTGCCCCTCAGCCCCCTGGGGGATCAGCCCCACCATTTGTACAATTTTGAATCCCAACCACCTAGGGATGCTTCCAGTCAAATATGGTTGATATCCACTTCTTAGTTCCAGAGAAGAAGTCGCTTAAAGCAATATAGCCAAATTGACCCCTTTTGGCCCCGGCCCTCAGCCCCCTTTAAGGTCAGCTCCACCATTTGTACAATTTTGAATCCCCACCACCTAGGGATGCTTCTAGTCAAATTTAGTTGAATTCCAATCAGTGGTTAAGAAGAGGTCGTTTAAAGAAATTGTTGACATACAGACGGACATACGGGCGGACGGACGGACGACGGACGGACGGACGGACGACGGACGCCGCGCCACGGCATAAGCCCACTTGGCACTTCGTGCCAGGTGAGCTAACAAGACTGAGGACCTAACAGACTGGACCTACAGAACAACAACCCCAAAGAAATAAATATTTGATCTCCGAGAAGCCAGCTACAATCCAAGTAACCCTATAACAGTGAACTAGGTTAATCCCACAGAAGCTCAGAGATACAAGAAAGGGAACAAAACTAACTTAATGCACCCATAGTTACACTTAAAGTAACCCCTTCTATAACTCTGGATAGCTAAAGTGTTGCCAGCTGTACACAAGTCACTTTTGAGTTTGTAGATGGCTTCCCTTATGTCAGTCTAAAGACCAATACCTACCTGTAAGCAGCCTTGTGACACTGTCCAAGTCTCTCCTTTACTTGTAGCCATATAGGATCTTCCACAACTGTTGACCCCTGTTTGCTACTCTTCATCTGTGATCTGGTAAATAACACAGAATTCTTATCAATTAAGGAATACAGGGAGAAGTCATTGAAATATCTTGTATTATTTACCTGTTGACACTGTGTTTGAGGGACAAGAACCTGACCCGTTACACCTGTAATTTGTGTAACAGGTAACTCTCATACAAATTAAACTTGTTATTTATGTTACACATTACACATGTAAGTTGTATTTTTTTGTTTTTGTTTTGTTTTTTAAAACAATGTTTTCATTACATAGTAAATAAGTTATATTGTATAATAACAATGTTTTCATAACGTAGTAAACAAGTAATATTTAGGGGATAGTACGCTGTTTTGAGTGTCTATACTGGCGATTAGAACATGAAATTTGGGTTTGAACTCGAGACCGATAGGTCGAGAGTTTAAACCAAATTTCATATTCTAATTGCCAGTATAGCCACGAAAAACAACGTACTATCCCCATTCTAACACACTTGAACAAATATACTACGCTAATATGTTTAGAAACATTGTATTTCCTTGTACAAAAGTACACAGTAAAATAATTTGTGACCCGAACTGGCGACGTGTCATACTGCAGCGGACTGACCAATTGGAAAGACGATTTCAAAAGTTGGTCATTTGGCCCCGCCCATACTGGGGAGCGCTCGATCTGTATGTTGACGAGGCGGAATATCTGGATTGTTCGTGAACGTCCTGTTACCAAAGTTTATACGACACATTTGGATTAATATTGACCGAGTTCTTACATTTCCATGTCAGTATGCATACCAATCGGTGCTTATCAACAAAATCGGTGATTATTTGTATAGATTTGTGAAGAGTTTTGTGTAAATGCATACGACACATGTGAAATGTTTCATTTGATTTCGGATCTAAGTAGATGTCTTCACACGGATGGAACGAACATTTCAGTAATAAATGGAGGTAAGAACAAGGAATGTGTACTTTTTACTTTTTAATTCATTCAACAAATACATTTCATCGGTCGTTTCTGTTCTGTTGTCTACTCAGCGGGAATTCGCTAAGAGGCGAACTTGACGCCATATTGTTTTAGTTTGAAACGGGGCGTGGCTTAAGTGCGATGGCTTAACACGATTGATCATGATTCTATCGCAGATTAGAACATGGTCCGTATCCAATCAAAACACGTGTTGCAAACGAATCGTGTTAGAATGTATAATAACAATGTTTTCATTACCTACTAAACAAGTTATATTTAGGGGATAGTACGTTGTTTTGAGTGTCTATACTGGCGATTAGAACATGAAATTTGGGTTTGAACTCGAGATCGATAGGTCGAGAGTTTAAACCAAATTTCATGTTCTAACCGCCCGTATAGACACGAAAAACAACGTACTATCCCCATTCTAACACACCTTAACAAATATACTACGCAAATATGTTTAGAAACATTGTATTTCCTTGTACAAAAGTACTTTGTGACCTGAACTGGCGACGTGTCATTCTGAAGCGGACTGACCAATCGGAAAGAAGCTTTCAAAAGTTGGTCATTTAGCCCCGCCCATACTGGCGAGAGCTCGATCTGTATGTTGACGAGGCAGAATATTTGGATTGTTCTTGAACGTCCTGTTACCAAAGTTTATACGACACATTAGGATTAATATTGACCAAGTTCTTACATTTCCATGTCAGTATGCATACCAATCGGTGCTTATCAACAAAATCGGTGATTATTTGTAGAGTTTTGTGTAAATGCCTTCCTTTTTACTTTTTAATTCATTCAACAAATGCATTTCATCATCATTTCTGTTCTGTTGCCTACTAGCCTTATCAGCGGGATTTCGCTAAGAGCGAACTTGACGCCATATTGTTTTGGTTAGAAACGGGGCGTGGCTTAAGTGTGATGGGAGGAGCTTAACACGATTGACCATGATTCTATCGCAGATTAGAACATGGTCTGTATCCAATCAAAACACGCGTTGCAAACGAATCGTGTTAGAATGTATAATAACAACGTTTTCATTATGTAGTAAACAAGTTATATTGTATAATAACAATGTTTTCATTACCTATTTATACATAACTTCACACAATGAAAGAGTTAACCTGTTTATTACTTGAGTTAAGACACAGATATGTATGTGCAAGCAAAGAACAAGTACTAAAACCTACTGCAAACATTTGGCGTATCAGGGGCTACTCACTCTATAACAAACCTACTAATAGTAACAAATTCTTTTCAAAAGATTTTAAAGGAAGCTAGACTCTGCGAAGTCACAGAGAAGCTTGATAAAGAACGCGAGCTAGACTCCAAAGAAAACAAGAGAAGCAGCTAGACTCTGAAAGACTCCAGAGAAGCGACTAGACTCCTAATATCCATGGAGAAGCTATAAAAGACTATGAATTGGAAACGCTAGACTCCGAAGAAGGCAAGAGAAGTCACTAGACTCTGGAGGAATCCAGAGAAGCGACTAGACTCATAGCCACCCCAGAGAATATATCTGTTAGATTTACCACAAGAAAACTGGCTACAGATACAGTGAAGTAATAATCTATTTAAGAGATTGGGGGTAAAATTCCCCAAGAATTTAAAGCCAAAATGGAACGATTATGTTAGTCGACGTAAGAGTGAGAGCCCCCAATAACGTAAAGAAATTATTTATAACATTGGAGGTAAAATGATAACTATTTTAACTAGTCAAAGCTCATTCACTGTTGAGCTGTACAAATTGTAGCAGGATCTGTTTGGATATAACGAGTAAAACAGTCAGATGACCATCTACCCAAAGTCTGAATAACATGATCCTGGACACTAGCGACAGCTGCTGAGGTAGCCACACCAATACGAAAAGAATGTCCATTAAAACAATGGCTGATGATACCTAAACAAGTCAGTTATTTTGAGGTATGATATGAAAGTCTGACGCATCAACGGTTTGGAAAAAAACACATTTTCAATAAACAAAGGTGAAGTCAGAATAGCTCCTTGAGCCTTCCTTGCTGCTAAATAGCGAATCATGGTGAACACAGGATGCAAAACATTGTTTCCAAACACTTTAATGTTCACTCCTTTACCATAGTAATAACAATATTTTCATTATGTAGCAAACAAGTTATATTGTATAATAACAATGTTTTCATTACCTAGTTAACAAGTAATATTGTATAATAACAATGTTTTCATTATGTAGCAAACAAGTTATATTGTATAATAACAAATGTTTTCATTACATAGTAATTAAGTAATATTGTATAATAACAATGTTTTCATTATGTAGTTAACAAGTAATATTGTATACTAACAATGTTTTCATTACATAGTAAACAAGTAATATTGTATAATAACAATGTTTTCATTACATAGTAAACACGTTATATTGTATAATAACAACGTTTTCATTATGTAGTAAACAAGCAATATTGTATAATAACGTGGTTTTGTTTAAATCTTATTTTTTATGAACCATTAATCACCATAATTTAAGCATATCATATATAGCATATTGATTCACGAAAAGTAAGTTAATAAAAGTAAATAATCAAAATAAAAGATTCAATCCGGAAACTAAAAGGTGCCGTGTTTATGTTTGTTTTTATCCTTATACTGTACAATCATGGCGGTGTCTACATGTGTTCGGAATTTGGTGCGGTTTCTGGATGTCTATACGCGTTTCCCGTTGTATTGTGTGGATATACATTGAAGGGTGTAGGTAAGTAATAACAAAGTGTTGTTATAATTGTTTACGTTCTCACGATATGTTGTTGCATTGTTGTGTGGGGTAGATTCCTTATTGATGGAGCACCCACATGTTCCACCTTCAGGGTATCATAAAAGGACAATAGGTAGCATGATTTACTATTTTAGTTGTATCAAATCGATTATCTAACTTTGTTATCATTATCTTTTATATACATACTTATTTTATTTATTTAGTATGTAACAATAATAATTGTTCATTACATAAATATGAAGGGGGGAGGATAGTGTGAGAGTACTAAATACAATTAACATGTAGTACAGTGTCACGTTAAACAGTCATTTTCCCTTTTTTTCAGTCATGGAGTGTTTGCATTCGATGAAAGTGATTCTACAACTTTTTCTGTGGAGATTTGAAGTGTTTGAAGATGTGCACCTACAAGAGATGCAGAGTGTCTAGGAAAATTGTACATTGTTTATTTCTGTATTTGTTAATATCTACTAGTATATGTTACAAACATTACAATTAGGTGTATCACTCAATTTCCATTTATGTAGTATTTGCTTTGATACTAGGATTTTATTTAATAATTTCCATCTGAACTCTTTTAGTTTGTTGTTCTGTAAGGTTTTGAATATGAATTCATTCGTGTACTCTAGTACAGCATTGATATTAAGGTTAATTTCCCAATATATTATTGAGATAGGTTTTTCGGAACGCAATTTTATTAAATGTTTGTATATGCTTTGATTGCTGCAATATTTGATTTTCATTCTTTCTAGTTTTGGAAGCTTAATGACTTAAATCTCTTTCAATATTGACATTTAAAGTTTTGCATGCTGACATAACTTTTTCATTTTTTTTAGCCAACTTTTTGGTATTACTTTCTGAATTATTGATAGTTCTGACAGCCAATTAATCTTATTTTTGAGATTTTCATAATCATTCTGTCATTCATTTTTACACTGTTATGCAGTAAGTCCTTGATTGTTATAATACCAGACTCTATCCATGTTTTAAATAATAATGTTTTTCCTTTCATCTTTATGTATTTATTTCCCCATCTGAGTTTTATCCATGTTGATATGATTTCATAGTAGAAAGGAGATAATTCTTCACTCTTTGGAAGATTTTTTAAGTTATTTAAGTTCATTTTACAGATGAGCATATTTGGGCCAAACATGTCTAGCTGTAATTGTGGGACAACTTTCCATAGGGCTTCTTCCTCTAATACAAGTTTTTTTTTACCCAATTTATCCTTAATGTATCAATGTGGGATCTTATATCGATTGCATTTAGATCTCCATCTTTGTATGCTCTGATCATTGTTCTCCTTTTTATTTTTCTCTCTTTCCATCTCATATGTAGTTGTAAATTATCTTTTCAAAATCTTGAATTGTGTTTGTGGGAATATATAACACTGAAATAAGGTATGTTAACTGTGGTACAAGTAATGATTTCACTATTTGTATCCTCCCAATTATAGTAAGTTTTCTTATTATCAAGTTGTTCACAAGTTTTTGTACTTTATCCAACTTTTCTTTCCAATTGATGTAAGTTGTAAGTTATGTAATGGATACCTCTCTTACACATTACACCTGTAATTTATGTAACAGTTAACTGTCATACACATTACACCTGTAATTTGTGTAACAGTTACCTCTCTTACACATTATATATACACCTGTAATTTGTGTAACAGTTAACTGTCATACACATTACACCTGTAATTTGTGTAACAGTTAACTGTCATACACATTACACCTGTAATTTGTGTAACAGTTAACTGTCATACACATTTCACCGGTAATTTGTGTAACAGTTAACTGTCATACACATTACACCTGTAATTGGGCTACAGTTACCTCTCTTACACATTACACCTGTAATTTGTGTAACAGTTACCTCTCTTACACACTACACCTGTAATTTGTGTAACAGTTAACTGTCATACACATTTCACAGGTAATTTGTGTAACAGTTAACTGTCATACACATTTCACAGGTAATTTGTGTAACAGTTAACTGTCATACACATTTCACAGGTAATTTGTGTAACAGTTAACTGTCATACACATTACACCTGGAATTTGGGTTACAGATAACTGTCATACACATTACACCTGTAATTTGTGTAGCAGTTAACTGTCATACACATTACACCTGTAATTTGGGTAACAGATAACTGTCATACACATTACACCTGTAATTTGTGTAGCAGTTAACTGTCATACACATTACCCCTGTAATTTGTGTAACAGTTAACTGTCATACACATTCCACCTGTAATTGGGCTACAGTTACCTCTCTTACACATTACGCCTGTAATTTGTGTAACAGTTACCTCTCTTACACATTACACCTGTATTGTGTGTTACAGTTAACTGTCATACACATTACACCTGTAATTTGTGTAACAGTTAACTGTCATACATATTACACCTGTAATTGGGTTAGTTACCTTTCTTACACATTACACCTGTAATTTGTGTAACAGTTACCTCTCTTACACATTACACCTGTATTTTGTGTTACAGTTAACTGTCATACACATTACACCTGTAATATGTGTAACAGGTAAATGTCTTACATATTACACCTGTTATTTGCGTGATAGGTAATCTCTTACACAAAACACTTGTAATTTGTGTCACAGGTAATTGTCTTATACATAAATATACATAGGTATGGCAGTAACTAATATAAATATACATAGGTAATGGGGTAACTGACATGAATATACATAGGTATGGGGGTAACTGACATAAATATACATAGGTAATGGGGTAACCAATATAAATATACATAGGTATGGGGGTAACTGATATAAATATACATAGGTAAAGGGGTAACCAATATAAATATACATAGGTATGGGGGTAACCAATATAAATATACATAGGTATGGGGGTAACCAATATAAATATACATAGGTAATGGGGTAACCAATATGAATATACATAGGTATGGGGGTAACTGACATAAATATACATAGGTATGGCAGTAACTGATATAAATATACATAGATATGGGGGTAACTGATATAAATATACATAGGTATGGGGGTAACTGATATAAATATACATAGGTAAAGGGGTAACCAATATAAATATACATAGGTATGGGGGTAACTGACATAAATATACATAGGTATGGCAGTAACTGATATAAATATACATAGATATGGGGGTAACTGATATAAATATACATAGGTATGGGGGTAACTGACATAAATATACATAGGTACGGCAGTAACTGATATAAATATACATAGATATGGGGGTAACTGATATAATATACATAGGTATGGGGGTAACTGACATAAATATACATAGGTATGGGGGTAACTGACATAAATATACATAGGTAATGGGGTAACCAATATAATAAACCTAGGTATGGGGGTAACTGACATAAATATACATAGGTATGGGGGTAACTGATATAAATATACATAGGCTATGGGGTAACTGACATAAATATACATAGGTACGGCAGTAACTGATATAAATATACATAGGTAATGGGGTAACTGATATAATATACATAGGTATGGGGGGAACTGACATAAATATACATAGGTATGGGGGTAACTGACATGAATATACATAGGTATGGGGGTAACTGATATAAATATACATAGGTAATGGGGTAACTGATATAATATACATAGGTATGGGGGTAACTGACATGAATATACATAGGTATGGGGGTAACTGATATAAATATACATAGGCTATGGGGTAACTGACATAAATATACATAGGTACGGCAGTAACTGATATAAATATACATAGATAATGGGGTAACCAATATAAATATACATAGGTAATGGGGTAACTGATATAAATATACATAGGTATGTGGGTAACTGACATAAATATACATAGGTATGGCAGTAACTGATATAAATATACATAGGTATGGCAGTAACTGACATAAATATACATAGGTATGGCAGTAACTGAAATAAATATACATAGATATGGGGGTAACTGATATAAATATACATAGGTATGGGGGTCACTTACTTTTGTCATACCATTGCTGCTAATGTCTTTTGAGCAAATATATCACAAATTAAATCAAAATACATAAATTATTTTACAATATTACTTACTTGAGGTCAAATTTGTCCTGTGTTGTCTGTCCCACAATGCAATGATGTAAAGAAGGGGCAAGTTCTGACAGTGCTCCACAAAATCTTCCCACTAACAGAATTCTACAAATAACACGTTTATTCTTCTAACATTCAATAATCTACATGTGTAAAGCATCAGTGTATTGTGGTACATGGCATCATTTGAAAAAAAATCATCATTTTATCATTAAGCTCATAAGACCTTCATAGAGCATTGCAATCACATATAGTTACTTAAATCTTTTCCAAATCGCATCAAGATAGAAAACTTTACCAAAGGAGTTTCATAGGGATATGTATTGTATTGTAAAAGCATTAAATTGTGTAGAAATAAATCATAATAACCCCGACACTCAAACTTCAATATCCTGTAAATAATCCTACACTCAAACTTCCATATCCTGTAAATAATCCTACACTCAAACTTCCATATCCTGTAAATAATCCTACACTCAAACTTCAATATCCTGTAAATAATCCTACACTCAAACTTCAATATCCTGTAAATAATCCTACACTCAAACTTCCATATCCTGTAAATAATCCTACACTCAAACTTCCATATCCTGTAAATAATCCTACACTCAAACTTCCATATCCTGTAAATAATCCTACAACCAAACTTTAGTATCCTCAAGTCAAAGGACTATTCTGATTTCAGGGTATTCCATAGGTACATTACATGGAATACATGAGATTATATTGTCCCCTATCAATACCACAGTTATAAGTATAATATGGTAACTATTAATACCACAGTTATAAGTATTATATGGTAACTATCAATACCACAATTATAAGTACTATATGGTAACTATTAATACCACAGTTATCAGTAGTAAATTGTCTCTATCAATACCATGGTGACACCTAGATACCACTAAGTACCATGGCAACTCCTAGATTCCCACTAAGTACCATGGTGACTCCTAGATTCCCACTAAGTACCATGGTGACTCCTAGATTCCCACTAAGTACCACGGTGACACCTCGATTCCCACTAAGTACCATGATGACTCCTAGATTCCAACTAAATACCATGGTGACTCCTAGATTCCCACTAAGTACCAAGGTGACTCCTAGATTCCCACTAAGCACCATGGTGACTCCTAGATTCCAACTAAGTACCATGGTGACTCCTAGATTCCCACTAAGTACCATGGTGACTCCGAGATTTCCACTTAGCACCATGGTGAATCCTAGATTCCAACTAGGTACCATGGTGACTCCTAGATTCCCACTAAGTACCATGGTGACACCTAGATTCCCACTTAGTACCACGGTGACTCCTAGATTCCCACTAAGTACCAAGGTGACTCCTAGATTCCCACTAAGCACCATGGTTACTCCTAGATTCCAACTAAGTACCATGGTGACTCCTAGATTCCCACTAAATACCATGGTGACTCCTTGATTCCCTCTAATTACCACAGTGACTCCTAGATTCCCACAAAGTACCATGGTGACTCCAAGATTCCCATTAAGTACCATGGTGACACCTATATTCCCACTTAGTACCATGGTGACACCTAGATCCCACTATGTACCATGGCGACTCCTAGATTCCCTCTAAGTACCATGGTGACTCCTAGATTCACACTTAGTACCATAGTAACACCTAGATTCCCACTAAGTACCATGGTGATTCCTAGATTCCCACTAAGTACCATGGTCACTCTTAGATTCCCATTAAGTACCATGATGACTCGTAGATTCCCACTAAGTACCACAGTGACACCTAGATTCCCACCCAGTACCATAGTGACACCTAGATTCCCACTAAGTACCACGGTGACACCTCGATTCCCACTAAGTACCACAGTGACTCCTAGATTCCCACTAAGTACCAAGGTGACTCCTAGATTCCCACTAAGCACCATGGCGACTCCTAGATTCCAACTAAGTACCATGGTGACTCCTACATTCCCACTAAGTACCATGGTGACACCTAGATTCCCCCTAAGTACCATGTTGACTCCTAGATTCCCACTAAGTACCATGGCAACTCCTAGATTCCCACTAAGTCCCATGGCAACTCCTAGATTCCCCCTAAGTACCATGGTGATTCCTAGATTCCCACTAAGTACCATGGTGATTCCTAGATTCCCACTTAGTACCATGGTTACTCTTAGATTCCCACTAAGTACCATGGTGACTCATAGATTCCCACTAAGTACCATGGTGACGCTTAGATTCCCACACAGTACCATAGTAACACCTAGATTCCCACTAAGTACCATGGTGATTCCTAGATTCCCACTTAGTACCATGGTTACTCTTAGATTCCCACTAAGTACCATGGTGACGCTTAGATTCCCACACAGTACCATAGTAACACCTAGATTCCCACTAAGTACCATGGTGACACATAGATTCCCACTAAGTACCATGTTGACTCCTAGATTCCCACTAAGTACCAAGGTGACTCCTAGATTCCCACTAAATACCATGGTGACTCCTTGATTCCCTCTAATTACCACAGTGACTCCTAGATTCCCACAAAGTACCATGGTGACTCCAAGATTCCCACTAAGTACCATGGTGACACTTAGATTCCCACACAGTACCATAGTAACACCTAGATTCCCACTAAGTACCATGGTGATTCCTAGATTCCCACTTAGTACCATGGTTACTCTTAGATTCCCACTAAGTACCATGGTGACACCTAGATTCCCACTAAGTAGCATGGTGAAACCTAGATGACAACTAAGTACCACGGTGACTGCTATATTCCCACTTATTACCATGGTGACTCCTAGATTCACATTAACTACCATGGTGACACCTAGATTCCCACACAGTACCATAGTGACCCCTAGATTCCCACTAAGGACCATGGTGACTCCTAGATTCCCACTTAGTACCATGGTGACTCATAGATTCCCACTAAGTACCATGGTGACACCTAGATGACAACTAAGGAGCATGGTGACATCTAGATTCCCACTAAGTACTCCTAGATTCCCACTAAGTACCACGGTGACACCTCGATTCCCACTAAGTACCACAGTGACTCCTAGATTCCCACAAAGTACCATGGTGACTCCAAGATTCCCACTAAGTACCATGGTGACACCTAGATGACAACTAAGGAGCATGGTGACATCTAGATTCCCACTAAGTACCACGGTGACACCTCGATTCCCCCTAAGTACCACAGTGACTCCTAGATTCCCACAAAGTACCATGGTGACTCCAAGATTCCCACTAAGTACCATGGTGACACATAGATTCCCACTAATTACCATGTTGACTCCTAGATTCCAAGTAGGTACCATGGCAACTCCTAGATTCCTACTAAGTACCATGGTCACTCTTAGATTCCCATTAAGTACCATGATGACTCGTAGATTCCCACTAAGTACCACAGTGACTCCTAGATTCCCACAAAGTACCATAGTGACTCCAAGATTCCCACTAAGTACCATGGTGATTCCTAGATTCCCACTAAGTACCATGGGGACACCTAGAATCCCACTAAGTACCATGGTGACACCTAGATGACAACTAAGTAGCATGGTGACATCTAGATTCCCACTAAGTACCACGGTGACTCCTAGATTCCCACTAAGTACCATGGTGACTCCTAGATTCACACTTAGTACCATAGTGACACCTAGATTCCCAAAAAATACCACGGTGACTCCTAGATTCCCACTAAGTACCATAGTGACTCCTAGATTCCCACTAAGTACCATGGCAACTCCTAGATTCCCACTAAGTACCATGGTGATTCCTAGATTCCCACTAAGTACAATGGTGACTCATAGATTCCCACTAAGTACCATGGTGACACTTAGATTCCCACACAGTACCATAGTGACACCTAGATTCCCACTAAGTACCATGATGACTCCTAGATTCCCACTAAGTACCACGGTGACACCTCGATTCCCACTAAGTACCACGGTGACAGCTATATTCCCACTTATTACCATGGTGACTCCTAGATTCACATTAACTACCATGGTGACACCTAGATTCCCACTTAGTACCATGACGACTCCTAGATTCACACTAAGTACCATAGTGACTCCTAGATTCCCACTAAGTACCATGGCAACTCCTAGATTCCCACTAAGTACCATGGTGATTCCTAGATTCCCACTAAGTACAATGGTGACTCATAGATTCCCACTAAGTACCATGGTGACACTTAGATTCCCACACAGTACCATAGTGACACCTAGATTCCCACTAAGTACCATGATGACTCCTAGATTCCCACTAAGTACCACGGTGACACCTCGATTCCCACTAAGTACCACGGTGACAGCTATATTCCCACTTATTACCATGGTGACTCCTAGATTCACATTAACTACCATGGTGACACCTAGATTCCCACTTAGTACCATGACGACTCCTAGATTCACACTAAGTACCATAGTGACTCCTAGATTCCCACTAAGTACCATGGCAACTCCTAGATTCCCACTAAGTACCATGGTGATTCCTAGATTCCCACTAAGTACAATGGTGACTCATAGATTCCCACTAAGTACCATGGTGACACTTAGATTCCCACACAGTACCATAGTGACACCTAGATTCCCACTAAGTACCATGATGACTCCTAGATTCCCACTAAGTACCACGGTGACACCTCGATTCCCACTAAGTACCACGGTGACAGCTATATTCCCACTTATTACCATGGTGACTCCTAGATTCACATTAACTACCATGGTGACACCTAGATTCCCACTTAGTACCATGACGACTCCTAGATTCACACTAAGTACCATAGTGACTCCTAGATTCCCACTAAGTACCATGGCAACTCCTAGATTCCCACTAAGTACCATGGTGATTCCTAGATTCCCACTAAGTACAATGGTGACTCATAGATTCCCACTAAGTACCATGGTGACACTTAGATTCCCACACAGTACCATAGTGACACCTAGATTCCCACTAAGTACCATGATGACTCCTAGATTCCCACTAAGTACCACGGTGACACCTCGATTCCCACTAAGTACCACGGTGACAGCTATATTCCCACTTATTACCATGGTGACTCCTAGATTCACATTAACTACCATGGTGACACCTAGATTCCCACTTAGTACCAT